GGAGTCACGACTGATGTTTTCTATGTCAACTTCGGCCTGGAGCACCCTGCGGTCCAGGTCGTCCAACCTTTGCCCTAGGCTGGTTCTTAGTTCAGGCACCGTATCCATGATGGGCAGTAATCCGTCAACCGTCTGTTCAAGGGCCGCAATGCGGTTCCCATGATTCACCATGATCAGAAATGGTGGTAATGGCAATGCGTTCCTTCGTCCGATGTCGAGCCTAGGCTCTGATACCAACTGTTACGCGGCGCCTTCCTGAGATTCCTTGGAAGGGCGACGTAAGGCTAAGCAACTGATGTCAGTGCAGTTGCTATCCGCCAACTGAGGTCCCCTCCGTACGCTAGACTAGATTGTCAGTGCCGTACGGGAAAACCAATGCCAAGAGCAATTGAGAGAACAGGAATGAGAATTGAGAATGAAAGAAAGCTTGATTGCATTAATGAAAGCTATTACAGAAAGGCAACGCGGTGTCGAGGGGGAGAGACACCAGTATAGAGAATTGTTTGCTTGCTAGAAAGTTTGATTGCTTGATCCCCCCTAATAATGCTTAAAAAAAATAATCCAAAGCTACAAGACTAGACATGATTAAGCTAGAGAAACATAATGGAAGTACATGGAATAAAACTACTCTATATTTACAATGAAAAAGACTTAGTTTGTTATAAGGCAGAAACAAGTCCGTTGTCAGCAGCATAGTCTTTGGCATCAGGGTCTGCGCGCGCGGCGCTGTTGGCATCTGCCTACGGTTGAGCGTTGGCGAGGGATATCGGTGGGGCGACAGAGGCACATGCGCGCTTGTCACTTGGCGCGGCCAAGACCACGGGGTCGTCCGTGGCGCTAGGCATTGGAAGGCTTGCTAGGACGCCACGGGGCGCGCCCAAGGGGTCATGGGGCACGGCTGAAAAGCCGCCCATGACATTACTCGTGCGATCAAATCGCCAAAATAACATCAACAACTATGAATTTAGCATCAAATCATGAAATCACTTAAGAACTTCAAATTTTCCAATTTTTCTCAAATACGGTCCAATTCACGTCATTTCAAGTCCGTTTCTTACCAAATTTCACATACTCGACTTAAACCACATATAAGACCTGTACCGGGCTCCGGAACCATAATACGGACCCGATACCATCAAATTTTAAACACATTTCATTTCCAAAACTCATAAATAATTCCAGAAAATAATTTTCTTTAAAAATTCATTTCTCGAGCTTGGGACCTCGAAATTCGATTCCGGGCATACGCCCAAGTCCTATTTTCCTACGGACCCTCCGGGACCGTCAAATCACGGGTCCGGGTCCGTTTACCCAAAATGTTGACCGAAGTTAACTTAAATTCATTTTTAAAGTCAAAATTCATCATTTTTCACAGATTTTCACATAATGGCTTTCCGGCTATGCACCTGGACTGCGCACGCAAATCGAGGTTATGCTAAAAGAGGTTTTTAAGGTCTCGGAACGCAGAATTTATTTCTAAAACAAGTGATGACCTTTTGGGTCATCACAGAGTGTCAGATCTGATGATGATGTATTGAGGGGACCATGTACTTGCATGCGTGTATGCGATATTCTTTTTCTTCACCTCCACTGCTTTGCCCTTTGCTCCCTTCCTGCTCTGTCATATAGCTTATTATTGCATTCTGAATGTGAGATGAAATGCTTGCTTTTCTTTACCATTTAAGTGTTTGATATGAAGCTGTGGAGGTCGAGTATTAGGGTTGTGCGTTAGGAGGTAGTTGAGTTTTGCCTTACTTCGTACCTTTGTGAGGCTAGTCTGGTAGGGTTTTTGTCTACGATAGCTAGTTGTAGTGTTTTGTCTTACTACTCTTTCGTTTCTCATAGTGCCGGATCTATTTACTAGCTATCGCTTTTGCTTTGCATCTATCTTCTGGTTTTCATGTTGTTATTTTTCCTATGATTTTTGTGGTGGTACTGATATTGTCTCTTTTTGTCTTCTTGAGCCGAGGGTCATTCGAAAACAGCCTCTCTACTCCTTCGGGGTAGGGGTAAGGTCTGCGTACACACTACCCTCCCCAGACCCCACTAGTGGGATTTTACTAGGTCATTGTTGTTGTTAAGTGTTTGGTGGTGCACCCGCTGCTGTCTATCATTTGTGTGTACTCATTTGCTTCTGTCTATAACCTTAATGTGTAGGCGAAATTTTTGTATGGGAACAAGTTTACTGCTGAAGAAATCCAGGACATCAAGTTGATGATTCAAAGCAATATTTACAAGTATCTGAGCATTCTCCTTGATGGAAGGGAGCGCTTTGAGGAGGAGGCTTTATCAACAATAAAAGCTGAAGGTACTTTAAAATATATCCTGAAAGTATTGATAAAAAGGTGCACTGCTAATTAACGAAGGAGTTGCTCTAGATGGGGTAGACTGCCAGTCATCAGCTGGACTTGCAGCTTTGGCTCCTCCCCTGCACGTTTTTGAACTCCATTCCCACTAATGCCAATTTGTGCCAAAAGTGGAGCTCTTACCTCCTCTTAACTAATTGCAGTATGCTCAAGCTTCATCTATCAATAGTCGAATCTGCCCAACAGATGTATTCTAAAAAGTTCGTTAAAAATGAAATTTAGTTGGATTGATATGTGTCTTGTGTATTAAGGTTTTCATTCAGTGGTTTCGGACATCCCAAAAACCCATATGTCTGTCTACTCCCCAATTATGCTTGCATTTCTTTCAGATCTCCTCGGAATGAGGGAATTAGCTGTAATTGCATAGACATCGTAGTATTGGGAGGTAAATTATTTTTGTATTTGTCAGGACCTGTTTAAAATTGTCTTCACTCTGAGAATATTTTGCCTTGCCTTGCTTTTCCATAAATGCAGCTTACGTAGTTGTCATTTCAGATGTGATAGCTTAGGTGCTCTATGATTTCTTGTCAATCCCTTCGTTCCAATTTTAACTAAAAATGATCCTTTGCTGTGTGCTTGCGCCTTTCTGCTGTAGTTCTTGTCTATTCTTGATGAAGTTTTTCCTAAGAAAATAATCTTCAAGGAGTTCAGCTAACTGGTACATATTTAGTTATTAATACTCCTTCCATTTCTTGTCAAATTGAAAGACCGTTATATCTCACATGGAAAGTAAATACTGCATAACAGTTTCTTAAGGTTTAACATATGCTTCTGTAAATTAGGGTGGGATGTTTTGTTTCCAGTTGTCCACTATTGGCGGTTGTCAAAAGAGCAAGTGGATGCACTTCACTAACTGATTTCAATTTTATAGGTAGTGAGACAGAATCTGCGGAAAACACCCAGTGTGTCTATTCCTTAAATCCAAGGTTGAAGAATTTCTCAGATTGGCTACTGGATATTATAGCAACCGGAGATTTGGATGCTTTCTTCCCTGCAGCTACGCGTGAATATGCTCCGTTGGTTGAAGAGGTCTGGAAAGATCCTGCTATACAGGAAACATACAAGAGGAAGAATGAGCTTCATTTTCTTCCAGGTGTGGCGGATTACTTCTTGGGCAAGGTATTTTGCATATAACTTGTTTCTTGAACCAAGCTGTCCAATATAGTCCATGTATTGAGTTTAGTCCATCAACATACTTTTACCAACTGCATCGGAGGTTTATGGGCAATGGTGTTGTTCAATTATCTAGTTGATCCCACTTTTTTTTTTTCTTGATTTATAGTTGAGTTTTAATCTGACTAATGCTCATCGTTGTGGAAGGTAAAAATGGATATTTAACTAGTCTCTTTTTAGGCTGTTGAGGTATCGAGCAATGAGTATGAACCTTCGGAGCAAGACATTCTGTATGCAGAAGGAGTTACCCAAGGGAATGGGTTGGCATTTATGGAGTTCCAATTGGATGATCGTAGCCCAATGTCTGAAACCTATGGAGACAATCTGGATGCTCCTCCTCCCCCTCTCACCAGGTACCCATTGATATTTGTATTTGTTGGCCTTGAAGCTACTATTCAGTAGTTTTTTGTTCAATATTTGTGTGGAATTCTCTGGAGGTACTGTATTCTGATCCGAAGTTTGATGGCCACTCGATTTATATTTATATAAATTGACCTAATGATGAAAAAATACATTTGCGTTTATTGGTGTTAACCTGTGCTGATTCAGTATTTCACTAAATATAGTTTGTGTAAATCATATGATTAACAACTTACACGTGCTTCGATGAATGGGAAACAAGGCGTCAAAAGGTCGTTTGGAAGGTTAGGGCAGTAGTTGCTCAAATTAGGATGCTCTTTTGTGTTAGATAGGTGCTTACACCAAAATATGCTGGTTAGGTTCTTAAGATATCCAGGAGGAGACTGTTGATTTACCAAAGAGGTCCTTCGCTCCTCCCTAACAAAAAGAAAAGAAATATATCTGGCTTAAGGACATATTTTTTATGTAAAATGAAGGAGGTGGAAACTTTCTGGGGTTATCCTTCGACAGCGTGTTAGGAAGAAAAGAGCAATTCACTGGAACGTCTTCTATAGTCCCAGATCTTTCACATTGCCTTCACATACTGGTTTCATTCGGATTGGACAAACATGTGTTCTTTGCACGGAGCCAAAAATTTTCATCTACACCAAGAACAGTACACTGATGGTGCATACATCCACGTGTGTAATAGTCTATTCAAGTCTAGGGACATAGACTAAAATATTAATCAGCATCATAACTATAACTGAAAATATTTTAATGGAGTAAAAGCTCTTCAATATGATATGAGTGTACTTCCACAAGTTATGCTTATCTTTGCTTGCCGTTACGTTGGTAATTATGTTTTTATTCGAACAGGTACCAGCTAATTAGACTAAATGCCAAGGGAATGAATGAAGGATGCAAGTGGGTGGAGATGTTTGAAGATGTTCGTGTCGTAGTATTCTGTGTTGCCCTTAGTGATTATGATCAGATGTGGGTTGCTCCAGAGGACAGTGGTAGTGGTACACTACTTCAGAACAAGATGATGCATTACCGAGAACTTTTTGAAACAATGGTCAGGCATCCCTGTTTCAAAGAGACCCCATTTGTTTTAATATTGAACAAGTATGATCTGTTCGAGGAGAAGCTCAACTGTGTGCCATTGGGCGCTTGTGAATGGTTCACTGATTTCAGTCCACTGAGACCTCATAATAATAGCCAGTCGCTCGCTCACCAAGCATATTACTATGTAGCCATGAAGTTCAAAGACCTCTATGCTTCCCTAACCGGTAGAAAGCTATTTGTGTGGCAAGCTCGGGCAAGGGACAGAATAACTGTAGATGAGGCATTCAAGTATATAAGGGAGGTCGTGAAGTGGGACGAGGAAAAAGAAGAGACCTACTATGTTGGAGCAGAAGATTCATTTTACAGTACAACCGATATTAGCTCGTCTCCATTCATCCGGCAGGAGTGAAAATAATTTAGACGTATGTTGATACTGTAGATAGGACAAAGAAAGAGGGATGTAATATGGTAATAAGTTGAATCTAATTTTTTTTCACCATCGCCTTTTCGTGGTTTTTACAGAAATGGTGTTTCAAGTGAGTGATTATCTTGGGTTATATTGCTGTGCCATCCAAGTATTTATTCTTAGATGGCAGTGAAATGTTGATAATAAATGCTTATTACCAGCCTTCTACCTCATCTGTCTGTTGTAAAAGTAGCTTTGCTTGTAGTAACATGAGCAGGATACCAATTATATGAGTCTTTCTTTGCTGTAATTTCCCCCTGAGAAGCTTCGGATATGTATGCTCGATATGAGAGTGAATATCTTTTTGTTTTAGTAGATTATTATAACGAATCCCCCCCACCAATCTTGAATTGGAATGGTATGACATTCACGAAAGATTTTGGTTGCAGGAAGGCTATATCTACAAAAGGGTGAAAATAGCATGGGCTAGCTAGTTTTCAGACTGCTATTCGAAAAACAACCAGCGTTTGCAAAATCATTAAAAAAACAATCATTTTATGCGAAAATAAAATATGGACAACGATATCTAAGTTGAAATACGGAAAGTTCCAGCATAATATACTGGATTATGGAGCTCCTGCGTATAAACTTCTAGCACATTATGTTGGAATTCTATAACATTATGTTGGAGTCTCATATGTAAAAAATCCGAACTCCGGTATATTTGCTGGAATTTTCCTGAATTTTTAAGGATATTTTTGTTTAGATTTTATCTTTACATGAAAAAATGGCAAAATTTCGAGTGGTCTTGAAACTGAGGTTAGTTTTCGATTACCAGCTAAAAATCAAGCTTTTCTGAATTTTCCCTCCAAAAGGTGCTAATATTTTTTGTATGAATTTTAAAGGCAGAATATGGTCTGTGTGAGGCAGAGTCCTAAATAATCATAAATGGTTGTGCGACAATCAGTGTGCATGTTGTCTTCAAAACACTAAAAATAATTGCTTCCGACCTTTTTAGCAAGTCTTTTTCTCTTCTTCTTTTCTTTCTTCATTTTCTTGCCAGGTTGTCCGCGAATGATGAATTGGTTAGAAGTAATATTTAATAAATAGTTAATTATTATTAGTATAAACAATAGATTTCATATACCAGTCAACTGTGAGATGATAATTAGAGATGCTAATAGAACTAGGTGAAAATAATTCAACCTAAACATGTACAAAGAAACTTTTGCACACCTAAAACTGCTGTGTATATTAGGTGGTTATTGATTCTAAAATTGTAAAGTGCACCACATAAAAGCTTAGTGGATTTGAGAAGGTTATTGATTATGAATCAATTAATGCACCATTTAAGCTGAGTGGATATTAGCCTTTTGTGATTTTGACTAAGTTGCTCCAATACCAAATACTTAGTAATAAGTACTCCCTCTTGTCCACTTTAATTGATTTTTTGGCCCTTTTTTTGTTTACAATATTTGATTTTTTCAGATGTCAAGAAGGAATTAACTTCTTTTTTTTCAAAGTTCTTGGAATTAAGGCTGTTCTTGGAATTAAGAGTTTAGGATGTATTTGTCATATTTTTAATGAACAAATTAAAGGAATAGTAAAGATTAATATGGTCAATTTTATTATTAATTAATACTAAAAGGTGAATTCCTGAAAAATTAAAAAAATAATTAAAGTGGCCGGGAGTAAAAGATAGTTATCCACTTTGAGTCTCATAAACTAAACCATAATAAATGCATTCATTTCGTAGATAGAATGATGATAACAACACAATTAGATGATGAACAATAAAAAATAACCAAACAACTACTACAACAATTATGCCAAGGAATCAAAAAAGAGAAAACGAAAGAAAGGAACTAGTACAACAATAATCACGTCACGGTCCAACAAAAGCAATCAATATACAGAGTGATACATGTGATGTGAGCTAAAAAAAAGAACATTTATCTTGTGACTTGTAATTGAAGGAAAGGTAACACTTTTTCCTCTATTAAAATCCTCTTAGCTCTCACAAGAGAAAGGCATTCAATCTAAAACCACAACACAAATATGGTCATCAAGTTGAGACTTTTTTTGCACCTTCCTTCTTCTTCTTGTCTTCATTTTTGGTTCCTCAGTTCATGGGAAACAAGGTACAAGGCATGTCCATGGAGTTCATCAAAGGTGGCAAAAGAAGCCATGGATGAATCATGGAAGCAATCGGGGTCCTCAAAAACACCTTGTTAATCCCACCATTAATCATCGTTTCGATATACCTGAATTGCCAGTTTAGCTCTTCTTAATCTTGATGTTAGTCTTACAGTTGATGGAAAATGGTTCTCTTAATTACCATATTGTATTCCGAGTGTCTTATAGACTTTTTATACGTTTGGCTTAGGGCTGGCAATTTGAGGTAAGAGGCCTTTTTTTTTTTATGCAAAATGAGCATGATTCTAAAATATGGGTCAAGTTGGGGGTTGGATTATACTCATTGTTAGCCCATCTTAACCCAGCCCATCTTAGCCCAAGTACACTTTGGGCTGGGTTGTTTAATGACCCATTTATTGACCTAACCAATCTTAACCCGCCCAAATTCAGCCCAAACCGCCCATTTGCCACCCCTAGTTTGGCTCATGTCTTAAGTATCATATGGTGACCTTAATTTCTATTTCTTGTGCTAATGATCGGACATGCTAAAATAAAGAAACATTGTTCACATTGTGATTCTTCAAGAATCGAAGCACACGAAGGAAAACTAAGAAAGTGAAATAGAAATGACCGAATGGTGAGTTTGTGCATCATTGCTTAATGCAGTGTACAAAAGGGCCGGGTTATATTAATTATTTTTAATAAAAATTAATTAACTGTTACAGCATGTACTATAAGACTCATCATTATTCTTGATAAAACTATCATTATACCACATGGTCAACAATGCTAATTTATTTCTTGTGTTTTAGAGATGAAACTTCCTAATCAATATCTCCCAATTGCCAAAAGTGAATTATTCCCCTTCTTGTTGAAGCAAAGGACAATATGACAGTGAGCACTGAGCAGGGCATATTAATCAGATGTAACATACATATATAGTTTACTAATAACTTTGAATTACTTGCTAAAATTTTTACCATTACTACAAAAGTAGTCACTACCATCTTTAAAGAATCAACTCTCTTATAAAAAAGATAAAAAGAAACATAAGGTTAATTCGATACTATTTGCCGACATATACGTAAGATATGACGAGAAAATCAATAATTTGAGAAACAAGATATCCAACTGTGAGCTTACAAGTGTTTTGTCTAACTTAAGGTTTGATTTTGTTTCGATGCAAGAAGAAGAAGGAGGAGGATAAGTCAACAAAATGAAAGGAATGCAGAAAGGATTCAAACAAGTTCACAGCAATTGATATTTTTGTCCCTTATAAATCAAAAGAATCAACTTAAAATTTCAGTATATTTAGTCTTTAAGAGATTAAAGGAAAAAAAATGGATGAAAAGAAATTGATATTTTTTGACATTCTTTGTTATTTTAATAACAATGATGTTTGGATCAGCTTGTACATATCTCAGCTATTGCATTAATACCTATTAAAATCAACTAACACAATATATTATTGAACCCTTATCTTTCATGGTTTTAAGTCACTCCGTTGACCCTTGTCAACATCTTTTTTCATATACAGTCAAACTTTTTTATAAGAGTTATCTTCTATAACATTACTTTACTATAACAGTCATTTTTTTTTAAGCCAAACTTTCTTCTTATACTATAATTTATATTAGCCAAACTTTCTTCTTATACTATAATTTATATTATTGATAATATCATTTCGCTATAACAATCAAAAACTATCGGAACAAACAAGTCTATTATAAAAAGGTTTGACTGTATTTTCAACGTACATTCTAAATTTCCTATGATGGGATTCTTCCCTCCACTTGGTAGGTAAGAAGTGTGTTTTAACCTTTTCCATTATCACTAATAAGTTGTCTCTTTGATATTATTTACTATTATTTATAAAATTAGAAAAGATAATTGTCCCCTCAAGGTTCATGACTCAAAACCTTAATGCATTCATTTCAGCAACATAACTCCAACGAACAGAATGATGACAGTAACACGAGTAGATAATGACACCCACAATAAAACAAAACAGTCAATAATCACAGGTCTAACACAAGCTATCAATATTCAGAGGGTGACTTGTTGTGTGATCTAAAATGATCTTTCTTGTCACTTCTTAAATGAAGAAATAAGAAACCCCAAAAGTATCCAAGAAACACATATCAACAACACAATGGGGCAGCAGTTTAGACCTTTTTGCTGCCTTCTTCTTCTTGTCTTCATTTTCAGCTCTTCTGCATCAGTTCATTCAACTAATATAGGAGTTAGTAATGGGAAACTTGACACGAGCAATGTCCATGAAATGCATCAGGGATGGCAATGGAGGTCATGGATGAATCATGGGAACACCTTCTGAATCCCACAGTTAAGCATCCATTTGATGTTCAATTGCTCTTCTAAATTTCCATATCAACTCTACACAGCTGGGGGAAAACCATATTTGGTGTCTCTATCACACATGTATAGTTCAATCAATGAAGAGTCTCCCCCCGTCTTATTTACCTTTGCCCAGGCCTCCAATGTTTAACTCCACGGGATTATAGTTCCACGGGATACCTACTACCTCTCACCAATACTGGTAAGGAGTAACTACGCACACCAAGGTTTAGGCAGATGGAAGAAATCACTCATCTTTTTATGCCTCTGCTGGATTTGAGCACTAAGCTTCATGATTTTCATTTCACTTCATTGACCACTAGACCACACCCTTGAGTAAAATCATAATGCATTCACAATGTATGCATACCTCAATAGAAGTCAATTTGAAGAAAGGAAGAGTTAAAGGCTGTACAATCCTAAATGAAATTCTGATGCGTGAAGCAAGACTGACCATTCTTGACAAACAAATCATACTAGCACATGGTTTCTCTCAGTAAAAGCAATTGACTTTGCTTATTAATTTCAGAGACGAACACATCAGAAGAAGCAATACAATTTTCCCCATAAAATACCATCAGACGTTATACATAATTCATAATGAAAAAAACAGTTTACAATGAAGAAAGATCTACTCCATTTTGAAGAATTCAGCAGCATTTTTTCTACAAAACCACAGTTTTAAGTGCTAATGCAGGGTGAAGGAATATGATATTGTCTGTTTTCAAAATAAGTGCACCATTTCGAACCCATACTAGTGCATATGGAAAAGAATGCAAAAGGGCAGCATCTGGATCAATCGATTTGCTATCTATGAATTCACATAAAATTCACATGCTTGATCTCTATTTGACTTCCATCCCGTCTTAAATCTTAATATCTAACATTTCCCAAATTTCACCGGATTTTCAATTCCTTCGGTACAAATTATCGAGCTCAAGAGTTCCAATTTTTAGATCCACTCAAAAATTTTAAATCCAGTATAAGAAACTCAGCTTCTGGGGTGTATAGACACCTACAGGTATTATTATAAACAACCTTTGAGACTGTTTCGAATTATTTATGGATTTGACATGTATATTTTAATTCTAATCACCAAATAAATACGATGGCATGCCTTATGAGTAAATTTATCACAGACAGTGTCATTATAAAACATGAATAGAAGATACAATCAGCTAACAAAAACCATAACAAGTAAATGGACACTAAATTTTGAATCAGTATGAAATAATATTTACATGCAAATGTGTTAAGTTTCCTATAAAAATTTAAATTACAAGCATTTCATATAAAGCAAGAGAGAAACTTGGAAAGAAGTAAAGTATGAAACATCATGTTTATCTGGTATAGCAGAGGTACTCTGCCACAGGTTCAGCAATGCATCAGCTAAATTCCAGATTCCTCCAAGAGCTTGAGGATACTGTGTTCGGGCGCGCTGATTGATGGAAGAATAACACGATTCATGGGTGGTCTAGGTCTTGTTCCAGCTGCCTCAGGCTCTGCAGTTGTTCCTTCCTGCATAACTGGAATATCTGCCCTTCTTCTTACTGCAGACACTCGCTCCTTCCATATTCTTCCATCCTGTGAGTGACACAACATGTAAGTTCCCAGTTAGAAGTCCTAAGAAGTAGATATACAGGTATAGAAAGGGGCTAGAGAGACAACACAACCATATTATTTCTCGACAAATACAAAGTAATTATGTTGTTCTCTCAAACAAGATAAATTAAATGCTTCATTGGTTTTGACAAACCATACCACTATATCCAATAGTTGAGCATAGACGCATTATATAACCAACAGAGGAAGAAAACAAGCAAAGCATATAAATGGCAACTGGCGTATGATTTTCTAATCACATTATCCTTCACTCAAAAGTGACCAATTAAGGTCTTATGACTCTGCCAACTCTGGAACCATTTGTGTACACTATCGAGAAAAGTATGAGTCTTTCGTACAGCAGTTGCAGCAAACCCCTTTCTTTCCTTATACAAATTTTTTATTGTTATTCTTTCCTCATACGGAAGGGGAGCCTTGGCGTAACTGATAAAGTTGCTGCCATGTGACCAGAAGGTCACGGGTTCAAGCCATGGAAACAGTCTCTTGCAGAAATGCAGGGTAAGACTGCGAACAATAGACCCTTTTCCAGCCCTTCCTCGGGCCCCCGTGCATAGCGGGAGCTTAGTGCATCGGGCTGCCTCCTCATACGAAGAGGAAAAAGAGGGTTGTGTATGGTCAATTTAAGTTAAGTGAGGAGCCTTGACGAAGGAAAAAGCTTAGGAGTTGGGGGAGAAGTTGTTGGCTATTGGGGTCTGGAGGAGTAGTGGGGACGTGAGTGGTATGTGGACCACGACAACAAATTGAATTAGAGAAGCTAAAGGTTGAGGAGGTCAAGTGGGCCATGCGTAAAATGAGCAGGGGAAGAGCGAGCGGGCCAGACGAAATTCCGGTGGAATTTTGGAAGAACGCAAGCAGGGCAGTCTTGGAGTGGCTTATTAGGTTGTTTAATGTTATTTTTAGGACGAAGAAGATGCCTGAAGAATGAAGGTGGAGTACGATGACTCCGTTGTACAAGAACAAGGGTGATATCCATAATTGCAATAACTATAGGGGTATCAAACTGAAGAGGGTGGTGGAAGTAGGGTGAGGAGGAGCGTGTCTATTTTCAAGAATCAGTTCGGATTCATGCCGGTGCGAACGACCACGGAAGCCATTCATTTTGTAAGGAGATTAATGCAGCGGTATAGGGAGAGGAAGAGCGACTTACATATGGTGTTCATTGACCTAGAAAAAGCATACGATAAAGTCCCAATGAAGATTCTATCGAGATGTTTGGAGGCTAGAGGGGTTCCTGTAACTTACACTAGGGTGATTAAGGACATGTATGATGGAGCTAAGACCCGGGTGAGGACAGTGGGAGGAGACTCGATACTTCCCAATTATGAGGAGACTAGTACAGATGCTTAATGAAAAGAAAACTGGTAACAAATTTTTGTACAGCAAAAAGAGAAAGAGAAAAACAACAAAGAGGCTTTACAACTGGAAATTGTGTGACAGAGTCGATGTAAAGTATGAAACTAGAGAAAACAATTTCAATTGCAATGTTGATTATAAATATCAGTTTGTCTTGTTCAGATGGATGGAAAAAAGATATTAATGAAGCGAGGGGAATGGAAGACAGAGAAGGGTGCAAAGAAGTTGACAACATCTTTTCCTTGCTTTTCACTCTTAGATTTCTTAAGTTCTTATTTTGTCATTACTCCCCAACCCAAAAGGAAAAAGTGCACGAAGCATTCATTCTCTAGGAAAGATTTGTCAGTGAAGTCCAATAAACAGAATACTGTAACCAATAACAATGAATCATGTGAACTTTTGGAAAACCTACAAATTATGATGGGTAATTTATGTTTTGCAGCTAACAAAAATCTTAACATCCGAACCAATAAAAGCCAATTAACCAAATACTTTCCCAAAACTGGAAATGGTTCAGCAGCTTGCAGCTATAAAGAAACAAACAATGTCAAGAGCTGATTCTTTCATGAGCCATTGTGTCTCTCTTTACAAGATAGTTAACTCCAACTCATGTAAGAACAGTGGTGACATGCCATTATTAATATACATGTTAGATGCCAGATATAGCCATCATCTCTAAAGTTGACAGTAGGAGTAAGAAGGACTATCTTGCAGGCTACTGGGTAATCACCAAATTAGACCGTAATTTTTTTTTTTTTTTTTTTGACTTCATGCAGTTGACTGACTGGCTTCCATAACTACATCATACTTCAAACGTCCAACAACAACAACCAAGTATAATCCCACTTAGTGGGGTCTGGGGAGGGTAGTGTATACGCAAACCTTACCTCTACCCTGGGGTAGAGAGGCTGTTTCCAAATAGACCCCCGGTATCCTTCCCTCCAAGAACTTCCCACCTTGCTCTTGGGGAGACTCGAACTCACAACCTCTTGGTTGGAAGTGGAGGTTGCTTCACACGTCCGTAGATTGAAAAGCCAG